ATCATAAATCTGACTTGACCGTCGGAGTGCTTGCGTCAGCGCCTACCCCATCAGGGAGAGGCCTCGAGTGACTGACGGCGTGCTACGTGTGCAGGAGGATTTAGCTTGAAGACATATCCTGTTGGCCACGTGTCCGAGCCATTTTTCGAGGTCAACATATGATTTGCAATTTTCAAATGCCAATGTTTTGCTAAAAAAATATGCATTTATTTTTAATAGAATTTGAATAATAATTCTTAGTGTGCAGTTAAGAGGAAGAGATTTTTCTCAATTTGTATTCCTTTTCCCTTTCTTTAGGAAAAGCCTAAGGAGAAAATGGAAACCTACCTTCGCACTATCTTTTGTCTTTTCCCATTTCCCATCAAAACAAATCATAGGATACCATTAGTTCACTGGGGTCTGAACACCTAGGGATATATAGCTACTCTTTTACTGTTCAAAATTAGACTTTTTATTTCTGCCAATATCATATGCAGTCCTTTTTTTCTTTTTATTTTGCCAAACTGCACACGTGTTCTGTGTACATAAACATGGATAGATTAACGTCAAATCAAAGTCAACAATTAATGTCATATATTTTATGAGATCCACAACTTTTCAACTGCACATTTCATTAACTTTTATTAAAATCTAATAAAGAAGTAATTTTAATATACACCAAACGGGGGGCTACATGTTGAAAGCTAGAAGGCAAGATGGCATTGCTACTCAGAGCTTTCATTAGTTATGATAAGAGAGATTTACATGAGTGCTTGTATTCGAATCCAAATTCTCACGATTCCCTTTCCCCACAACAATCTTTGAGAAAGGGAGAAACTAAGGCAGGAATTACAGGTTTATGAGTTTAGTACATACATGACAGTGGATAATATATTTAGAAGCTAATAAAGAAACTAGTCAAAATGAAGGTTTTCTATATCGCCAAACTGATTAATACCCTCCATATCTAGCTCATGCATACTATTTGATGTGCATGAATAAAAACGAGAAACCACTTCTTGATCATGATCACAAGATCTTGTTTTCGGACCCCACACCGATGCATATCCAGAAGATTTTTTCTCCATTGGCACTTTTTTGTGCCACAAGTTAGAATCCTCCAGTGAAGATTTTACATCAGACATATCAGTACTTTGCGCGTCTTGTTTAGGTTCTTTTCCCGAAGGAATGTTGATCATGGAGTAGGATGGATGGTCTTGATTGAGTGGGTTTTTTAAATCAAAACTGACTAGATTAAGGGATTCCACAGGATCAGAATCTACAATATGTGGAGCCCTCATTCTATCAGTGCACGTATGATGATCAAAGTACGTAATTTCATACAAAATGGGATCTTCTTTGATTGTTTCTACTTGTCTTGCAGCTTTGCATCCTTCATACTTGTGAGTGCATCTATAATAACATCTGTTGACACGAAGTGCATATTTAGTAGTTTGTACGTACAATACTAATAAGAAAAACAAATTAAGGCCCTGATTGGGAGAGATTCTCAAAATTCTATAGTAAATCAATTCTCATTTTCAATCACACATTCTTTAATAAAATAATATTTTCCATCACGTCAATAATTTCTTCTTTTTTTTCAAACACACATTTCCTATCATATCGCTATTCAAAATCAATTCTTCCCCCAAAAATCCTTCCCAAACAAGCACTAAACTTATAAAGGCTAGCTCTATTCCTTCTAATAAAGTTAAATAAATGGGATGTTTAAAAGAGAACACCACACGCATTTTAGAAACAAGTTTAACTTTGATTATAAATATGGGATGGTCCGAACTTAACTAGTGTGAAATAAAAAAAAAAAAAACATTGGAGCTATCGGGCACGGGATTGTGATAGAAATTTTTGAAATGCGTGGTTGAAAAATAGTAGGACTCATAAAAGATGTAGTTAATATTGATTGTTTGACTTTGACTTAGATTAAAATCAGATTTTAATCAAAAACAAACAGGTTCATAGTGTAAAAGGATTTGTATAATATAGATTTTTTGAGAATATATATTTTATGAAAAGTGATTTTTTGGATAATATATGATTAAAAAGTGGAAAAAAATTATGAATGTATGTGCAAATTATTTATTGAAAAATTACGAGTTGAATATGAGGAAAATCATTTTTTAAAGAAACTAAGGGATACTATAAATCAACCAATAGCTAACAATAGTATTTACTTGCTTTTATCAAATAGGAGTTAAAAAAAATAGATTAAGTCCTAGAGCCTGTTTGGTACAGATTCTCCAATTCTACAGTAAATCAATTCTCATTTTCAACCACACATTCTCCAATAAAATAATATTTTTCATCACATCAATAATTTTTTCTTCTTTTTCAACCACACATTTCCCATCATATCACTATTCAAAATCAATTCTTCTTCCAAAAATCACTCCCAAACAAGCACTAAAACTTTATTTATCATAGTTCGTCCAATACCAAACATACTGTAACAATTCTTGATCATATAATATATTGTAATTATTGGTAATTGTGACTCAAAATATGAATATCAATGAAATATATTCCTGTTTACTTGAAACAAAATGGGTAGAGTAACAATTCGTGATTTGATTCAATATATTTATTTCATTAACTTGTTTAAAAAGTCCCCCTAAATCTTGAACAAATTATCACAATAATCGTAAATTGTTGTCTGTTCACTTAATTTATACACTTATCTAGACCGTTAAATGTAGACACTTATTAGGAATAACTTTAATGAATTATAGTCTAATATCTTGTATATATTGTTTGCTAGCTAAAAATCAATGATTGAAGTTGAATTTGGAGGAAAAGAATGAAAATCAAAGATAAATGAGGATTTTCAAAGTTCATGGACTAAATTGTAAACATCCAAATGTTGTTCGGACCAAGAATTGATAATTGAAGATTACACGGAGTCAATTTGATGCAATTGGAAGACAAAGAACTGAAATTGCGAGAAAAATGACTTCATCAGACCCTAAGAGAAAAGCTAGGGACGACTGCAACCCATAAAATAAGGGAATCCGAGAGCAAGTTGTTATAGCGGTGCAATCGCAAGGAGATACCTCATGCGATTGCATGGAGTATTTTTCAGCGGACGGGACTATTTCCTCATTCGGTTCAAACTCTTTATGAAAAGGATTTTTGATGCATTTAATTTTGACATCTTCAAGTACAGAACATGGACAACAATTGAAGACACATCTCACACTTCTCACATATCAATTCATATCATAAAATCTTACAATGAAGAGGCTGATTCACCGCAGATTGGAGAGAACAACAAGTTTAGCAAACGAATTGAATGAAAAAAAAAAAATCAAGAACTTGAAGAATTAATGCTTGGAATTGAAGATCAAGATATAGATTTAATATATTTCTTGTATTCATTTACATTCCGGTAATGATTTTTTAATCTTTTCGTTTTTCTATCATTAGAAAAATGCTAATCTAGATTAGATGAAGATGAAATATTTTGCTTATTATTTTTAATTCAAAGACCAAATAGTGTAGAGTGTGTTAGATGCACATTAAAATAGAAAGAATGCATTTTTTTTTTTTGATTTGATGGTGAATTTGTGGTTGAAAAAGAAGAAAAAGTTATTGATGTGATGAAAAATATTATTTTATTTTATTGAAGAATGTGTCGTTGAAAATGAGCACAAGGGTGAANGAGTAAAAGAATGAAAATGAAAATAAGAATGCTGCTCAAACATGGACTTAATTAATTTATGTTCTTGATTAATCTTGCATATTTTGTTAAATTACTTAATTGCTTAATTACCAATTAGGTAATCATTTACTTGTTATGATTCTGTAGGTTTATAATAGGTCTAGAACTTTACAAGATTAACATGCGGGGCAATAGATGTTAAGAATAATATGAGTGCGTTTGATGGATATTATTAAAAAAATAGTGTATTTTAAATAGTGATATGATGTGAAATATGTGGTTAAAAGTAAGGAAAAGTTATTAATGTGATGAAAAATATTATTTTATTGAAGAATATGTAGTTGAAAATGAATTTTGAAAAAATGTATTTTGAAAAAATGTGTCTCAAATGGGGACTATATATTACATGTGCAATCATTTGGATAATTTGTATATGAATTCGAAATAGATATATGATCGGGTCGTGTTTAGAATATATTTAACTTACATAAGGGGAAATAGTTAGATAAAATTGAATTACGGATTAATGTTATTCAATTTAAGGTTTATTTCTCACGGGACAACACTCTTTCTCACTAAACTATTACTCGTCAACGATCCGCATACAAAATTTTAGAGAACAATTATTTAGCAAAATTAAGAAAAAAAAATAAAAATGAAATATAAAACATATGAATACCTTGGATATTCTGAATTGAGAATTTTTTTCTGTCCATATTTCCTCCATGCATACCCATCATCCATTGTAGGAGAAACTATTTTCCTTGAATCTGAGGTCCTTCTGCAAAACCAAATTATATATATGAAAACATATTAATGTATTAGAAAATTTATATATGAAAAATCTGAATGTACATGAATTAAGGACATTCCAACCTAAACCCACCCAGCAAACTCCCCCAAATGCAACCCTAACATTGACTATTTAATCACCCCAGTTAAATATATTTACTTGATGTCAACTAGCTCAAGAAAAAAAAAAGCAAAAGAAACATAACTAAAATATTTTTAGGGCCACACTTATGAACCCTAGTGAAGAGGGAATTTCTTACCAAATAATAATAATAATAATAATAATAAAAAATTTGATTGAAAAAAAAAATATTAATCATAAAAAATAACAATTATTATTATAGTAATAATAACAACAATAATTTAACCTTCTCTTGTAACAACCCCTTCGATCCTTGACCTTCGCCGGCTTCTTCTCACTCTCAAGTGAACAGACTGAGGCGCCACTATCGCCGCCGTCGATCTGGAATGTTTCATCTGAACTTAACTCTGAAAGAGTCTCAGTGAAAGATCTCAGGATTTTCACAGCTAATTCCTCAGCAGAGACAGACCCATTATTTTTCAGTGGGTTATTAAGTAGGGTTTGAAGCTGGGCTGTAAATTCTTTGCCTTTCACCAACTCTCCAATCAATCTTTTCCTCTTTGTAACTAGGGTTTCACTCGAAATGCTCATTTTTTCTCACTCGCTCAGTGTGTGTAAATTTCTGAGATCTGATTCTGAGGTAAAAAATGGGTTTGCTCTTTTATTAAGAGAAATCGGGATAAGTGGAAAGAGAGAGGCAAGTTGGAGGAAGATGGCAAGAAAGTGGAGTGAAAGTGTACGGAACCTAAATTTCGTATAAGACAAAAGACAGTGTGACTTCATGGTCGTGCGTCATATGCTTATGTAATAATTGCTGCAAGGTTTATGATGTTGGGAAAATTTCAATCGGATCCTCAACCTTCCGTAAGTGTGACATTCTTGTCATGTTTTCAACATTTTAACACTATTATCTCACGGAGCAAAAATGCCTATTTAGATGTTAAATATCAGCGTTACCCGCATGTGATATATATTTGAATCGATAAAATTGTCTAATAAAGAGCAACGTTTAATGCAATTTCAATAATCAACTCCTACTTTTTTGGAATAAAAAATAATCTTTTTTGGACAAATTTATCCTTCTCAGTCAGATATCATTAGGGCTGTCTGTGGGTCGGTTCGATTCTTAAGAGAACCGAATCGACCCAAAACTTTCAGGTATTTAATAAATGGAATCATAACGTCCAAATATAATTATGGAACCGTTCGGGTTCGATTCGATTCGGTTTCGTACCATAATTAAATTTTTTAATATTTACAGTAACACTACATAAATACAATTAATGACATTTCATTCGTAACTTTTATAAATTAACGTAGTCCAAACTGTCCAATTCAAAAATATAATATGATTTATTTAATTAATTTGCTAATTTGTTTAAAATAAAATAATTTAATTTAATTAATTTAATATAAAAAATAAAAAAAATTATTTAGTTTCGATTCTTATTCGGTTCTTGGTCTAGACCCGACCCAAATCCATTGGTTCTCGATGCGGGTATTCGTTCGGGTATTTAACTTATGAGGAACCTCTCGATTCGATTCGGTTCGAAACTTTTGGACACCCCTAAATATCATGTGTGTTGCTTGGAAATTCAATGCCTTACATTTTCTGCCAAGTCGGCATGCTTAGTGCTAGAAATTTGGAGGCGTGCATTACAAATAGAAAGTTGGAGACGAGATTGTTGCACTAATAAAAGTTGAGGACCCTGAAGGAATTTACTCTCTTTCTAGAATCCAAGATTCACAAGGGAAATTTCCTATTTTTTCCCCCTTTTTAATTGGAAATAAATCCACCGAGAATGGTCCAAAAGTTTTTATTTGTTGCCAAATTGGGGACTAAATTCGATGAATGATGAATTTAATATGAATAAGACATCAATCACGTTACACGTTCTTGATTGCATTTAGAAAATAAAATCTTTGTTAGTGTTGTCAATACATCGTATTTTAAGAGGTAATATTGTCAAAAATAGTATTTCAAACTTTTATAAGATGATTTAGCCTCTGTTTGGTATCCATTCTTTTTTTCATTCTCATTCTTCTACTAATTTTCAACCACACATTCATCAATAAAATAATATTTTCCATCACATCAATAACTTTTCCTTCATTTTCAACCATAAAAAAAGTTTGATTTGACACAAAGAATGCATTTTTTTCTAGAATAATGGTTACCAAACGGTGCCTTAATATTTTTATACTTACCCTACGGAAGATTTCATCACACCTAACATGGCGGCATATTCAAATCGGACCAATTTGTTTGTTCGAGCTTAATCATTTTGATATCATATTAAGATTCGAATTATATTTTTAAATGTTGATTTTATTAATAAAAATAATAGTTCAAACTTTTATATATTAATTAATTCATGACAATCAATCGAATTATCTAATTTATAATCCTTATCTCCTCGTCAATGTTTACGCATGAAAATAGCATTCCACGTGCCACAAACTTCTAAAAAAGTTAAGAGAGCTAATATGTGTACAGAAAAAATGCTAAAAAAAATTACCCACCAAGATTTAAAGGGTTTCCTTAAAAGAGATACTACACGTACATGGCTCTTTCATAGATTTTTTTTTTATAAGTAACACTAGACAATTTTTGATTGATTGTTGGCCCGAAAAATAAAGAAGGGCGGCCATATACATGTGCTGCGAGTGCAACACCTGTAAGGAACCTGTGCATTTTTCCTTGTACGGCAGGGAAATTCCTTCCTTAAATCATGCATTACCTTAGGCACATGCCAATTTGCAACACTTTATACTAAAAAGCAAAAGGTTCATAAGAAAAATAGGACTGCATAATTTTTTTTTTCTTTTATTCAAAAATTAAGGAATCGCTAATTTCATCCTTGAAATTAAAAAAAATGAGCGTAGATTTTGTTGATGCTCCAATAGTCCTACAATTTGTGAACAATTCTAAAGTATCCAACAAATCGGTAAACGAGTGGATTGACGTGCTCGATGCAGATGGAAACGGCGTACTTTCACACGATGAACTCCAGGAGTGATTAGACAAACTTTCCTCAAGTTTCCGACATGCAACCCATAGAAGAGATCGAAAATTTGTGTTAAGTTTTGTTTGAAAATTTTGACGTTAATAAGAGTGTCACGATAAATCAGGATGAATTTATGGTATTAAAGAAGGAGATGATGTTGGCCAAGGCTCGTGGCATTGGGAATTTGCCAATTTTAATTACGAGGGCTGTCCAACATGCTTCACCCTCAAAGTGAAAAAATAAAAATAAAAATGCATAGCCATTTTTAGCCTTGTTCGGTTTTGATTCGTTGCGAATTATTATTTTTTCCACATTCATTTTTAATCGCTTATTATTCAAAAAAAAACATTTTTCATGTTTTCTCATCATTTTCTCTTATTTTTAAGGATTTTTTATTGTAGGATTTTAGAAAATTGTTTGGTGAGAATTAAAATTAGATTTTTAGATTGTGATAGAAAATTTTGAAATGTGTGGTTGAAAAGTTATGAGACCCATGAAAGATGTAGTTAATATTGATTGTTTGACTTAAATTAAAATCTTTTAATCCGAGACAAACCGGGTAGTTTTATAACATAATTTTAAGAGCTTGTTTGGGAGGGATTTTAACACAATTAAAATTGAAAATATAGTCATTATTGGGTCCCACACCGTCTAATAAAAGTCAACAATATGAGTTTGTTTGGTAACACTAAAAATCCAATTAAAATTAAAAATATAATCGTTATTGGGTCTCACCCGTCTAATAAAAGTCAACAATAACGATTAGTTTTTCAATTTTAATCCGATTTTAATCTCTACCAAACATGCTTTATATCAATTTTTTCATGAATAAAATGTTTATTATTAAGAATTCATGTCACATTCGATTAAATTGGATGGTAAGCAAGCCTTTAATTTCTTTTTATCTTTCTACTTCATTAAACAACCGAAATTGTCACCATCTTACTGATTCTTTTGAACAACTCTCTGAACTTAAAGAAAGTGGTGCCTCCCCTAACTAATGATAAAGACATGACATGAACCCAGGTTAGTAATTAGTGCACGCCAATACCTCTTAACTGTTTCCCTCTCGTCGACTTTGAATTTTAACACCCAATATGTCAAATTTTCCATCCCTCTTCATTTCTTTTTTCCACTTTTTCTGTCCCTTCCTTCATCTTTTCTCTCTTTTCACCGACATTCATACCTGCAGTTTCACATCACAATTACTTTTCATGCACTACAAGTTGATTTATTTGATTCCTCTCAACTTTAGATGAATAATTGATGGTATAATGTCATTATCATAACAGTTGTTATTAAATGTGGATAGATAATTAATCCCTCTGGACAGACTCGACGTGAATGGTTTGAGAAAAAAAATAATAATAAAGCATTTTAGTTACTCCGGAACTCGACTCAACAATTAGAGCATGTATTTCTTTTCCAATCCCGTCTAACATTATTCAGTGTAGCATATCAAGCACATAATCAATGCGAGTCTCTTTTTTTTTTTTTTGGGTCGATAACGTGAGTCTCATTTTACATAAACAATGCTGGGGTGCCAGGGTGGGTTTGATACCCTCCCTGACAGCCCCCTCACAATAGGGGGGGATTTTTTATTTTTTTAAAATTCATATGGATCCCGCGTGGGTCCCACCACAATGTGAGAGAATGTCAACTAGAGTGTCAAATTTTTTCTGGTAAAATGGTTTAATCCTTTTTGGAGAGATCCAACCCCGAAAAGACGTGAATGAGAGACCTGAAATCATGCAGTTAACCATATTGACATCATTGATGCAGATGTGCAAAATCTGAGAAGGAATGAGTTATACTTCCATTATTATTCTGTTTAGAAAGCTTGACAGAAGCACATTGCAAGATTTCTTGCTGATTTTTTTCCGAAGCTGCAGTGTTGAGAAGTTGAATTTTTTTGTGCTCTTTTGTGGTACATCAAAGCCTCCTCATATTTTAGCAGACGTGGCGACCGCGACCGTTGCCTCATCTGTAGCATCTAAGGGATCAAATGGTGGTTCATTCTCTGGCAAGGATGGTGATAATTCATGAATCATAAACAAACGGCAGGAAATGGACCGGGTTGATGTCATTCAAGTAGTATTCACCTATTTGCAAGAATTGAAATTTTCTCACTCTCAACACGTAAAATCACCTTTGTCCCTTACATTTTTTCTTCTTTCCTGACATTAAGTTATAATGTAAGAGATGAACATCATGAACTTCAATCGATTCAGAATACTATACTTTTTCATATCTTGCTGCCAAGAATTTTATGTGTAATGTCTAGAATTAAAATTTAGCTTACGTGCCTACATACCAGTGTGTATGTAGGCACGAGTACATGGGCCCCAGCCCCGAAAGTTGACACACAAGGTCAAATGGTGCAGAATTCTCTTATAAAAGGTATATGTGAAATCTGCAACAGATAAGGCTTCTTGGGCAGATTCTGTATTAACTGGGATGTAAAGGATGTGGAACTCCATAATTTATAAGAAGATAAAATATCCTTTCATTGTCTGTAGAATTTCTATTATTACAATAAATAAACAATACATGACTTTTTTATGTTGATCATATCTACATGTAAAACAACAACCTCGACTTTGCACTATACAATGGTGCAACTTGGTTGTCTTTCATCTGTACAACAAGAGAAAAGAAGAAGAAGAAAATAGCAGAGAAAATGTGAATTTTTTATAAAAATGCATCCATGATGAACTTACAGCGGAACATTGCAACTTGTACGGATCTTTATTCTCAGATCCTTGAAAATCCGAGCACTGTTTTTGAACATTGTATTTCAGACTATCAATTTTAGCTCACTTGTCCAAAAGTTGACTAGGGGAAGAATATCCCATTAACCGATGAAGTGGAGAATTTGATGTTTCTCGCAGTTCTTCAATTTCAGAGGATGTTTTTTTCCACTTAGCCATCTTCGGTGAAGCTCCGGCTGGTTTAGAGGTTTCCACCAAACTTCCATTCTTGTTCCCATGTTCCCTTAATACAGACTTCATTTTTGTATCTTCCATGGGCTCAAAAGAACTGCCAGACGACATCTTTCTGTTGTAAGCATTCCACTCGAGGCGGTCAACTGAAGGTGTAAGAAATGAATTCTCCCCTTCTGTTGAGCAGCTTCTACAGAAAGACAGCCCATAGTCGTCAGAACATGACACGGGTTCAGCATGTGAACAAGAATTAGCATGGAATGTAGGTACCGGATTTATGTGACTGATAGCATCACTATGATCATCAGCCTCACTGGGCGGCGGAGCTGAAGCTTCCAGAAGGTATGGAACTATGTGCATTCTTTCCAAGAGCAAGAATTTCAGAACCTTCCTACACGCGTTGCACCTCAGCTGATGATATTTTTTCTTGAAGAGGAGAAAGTTTGAAGGCAGCTGCAACAGTTCCGAGCAATGATAACAAGAAATAAGTGGGGCTCCACCAGATATTGGCCGGAGATGTCTCTTCATTATGTGATGCTTTTCCCGTGAATATAACCTTTTCATCTCCCTGTCTTTATGCCTCCGGTCATCGGACATTGTCTCACGTCCCCATAAAGATTGCTCAGAGCTCGTGTAATGCTGGGGACTGGGGGATCTAGAGGCAAGGACATTACAGCAGTTATGACCAGAGTGGACCATGCAGTGACAATTGTTACAGAGCATGGAATGTGAAGGTAACTGAGCCGAGCGGTGCCAGTCTTGCGGACAACAATGCAAACATGAGCAGTTAGCATGGTGTCTGTAGTGAGCAGACTCCCCTGAAAAAGCCATTCTCAAGTCCTTGCGTCGTTGGGGCCAACGTTTCAATGGACCATGTCCGACAGGATATGTGGGATGGCTCAAATCTGCATACACCTCCCTTTCTGGTGCTAAATGTTCATAGTACAAGGGAGTTAACTTTTCCTTACCAGCAGGAAACCTTCCATTTGCCGTTAGTTTTGAAAATTGCATCCTGTTGAGCTGATCTTTCAGTTCAAACACCGTTCTCAATAAGTCCACCTTGTCTGGTTCAGAGTATGTAGGCCTATCTGATGACAGGCAAGCTTGATGATTTTGGAGCAAACTTCGATGATAACTTGATGGGGTTCCATTTCTGTGGCCAGCTTGGAAATCTCTAGAAGTGAATGCCAATCTAGGTGTTGCTGTTTCTTTGTCCAATCTCGTCCTATTACCACTCTTGTGGCCACGTCTTCTGGTTTCAGGCAAATCAACTTGGTGCCAGCTGCTGCTGCCTTCCATGGCATGATATTGCTTTCCCTGTAAGAAGGACGAGGAACTGCCTGCCCAATATTGCGTCTCTGACTCACTATTGCTCATGTTAATCTTATTTAATCCATCCTTTTTGTGCAATTCAGCAGTGCTGGTGGATACTTTATCCTTGAACTTTCTTCTAGGGGGGTGTGAAACATGGTTGGGAACTTGATCATCGGTTCCATCATAAGAAGATACGCTACCCTCATAAGCGTAACTTTTGGTTGTTGGAGATTTAGACATATCTACATGTTTAACATTGTGCTGAGAACTAGGGTCAACGGTGGGTAAACTAGTATCTACTGAGCTCAATCTACCAAAACTTTGTGTATCTTCTCTATGAGAATGCTCCAGCTGCTCAGCATCGGGAGACGAGCGATTAAGAGATGTATTGTTCTCATTAGGGCGGCCTTGAGCAGCAGCTAAAGAATCTCCTGTATCTGCATTCACATGATTTTCTGTGCTTGAGCATCTGATGAGAGGAAAATTCTTGATATCCTTGTTTACTTCAGCCATGCCTCCAGCTGAAGGTGATGATTTTCCATTTGCAGGCGAAGCAATCTCAAAGGGTGATGAATCTTGACTATTGTTATTATCCATTTCTTCGTGAAGCCACCCATTCAGACCCTTTTCATTATTTTCTGACGAAAGATGATTACTTTCATCCCCTTCTCTATGTTCTCTACCATCTGGAGGCAACTTATTCTTATGTTGATCATGCTCGGATAAAGACCGAACTTCATCAAGGAAGTTGTCATCTGCACACGATTCTGTTCGAGAATCTCCACGTTCCCTTTGTTCTCTACCATCAGGAGGCAAATTATTCTTCTGTTGATCATGCTCGGATAAAGACCGAACTTCATCAAGGAAGTTGTCATCTGCACACAATTCTGTTTGAGAATCTTCACGTTCCCTTTGTTCTCTACCATCTGGAGGCAACTTATTCTTCTCTCGATCATGCATGGATAAAGACCGAACTTCATCAAGGAAGTTGTCATCTGCACACAATTCTGTCTGAGAATCTCCACATTCACTTTGATCCCTTCCAGTGCATTGCTCCGATGGATTCTTTTCACCTGATTTCACATGTTTTCGAACTATTGGGGTTGAAACATCGGCCTCCTGACTAGTAAATTCAGCAGAGGGATTTCTGCCTGCAACTATTCCCCCATTCGAATCCTGAATTTCACTTTCACATCTTTTAGAATTTTGTCCAAAAGGACATTTGCCTTCTTCATCCTGTTTCAACTGTTCTGTGACTTCCGCGGATAGAACTTTATTCTTGCAATCGCTAACCTCGTGTGTGCTAGAAAGCTCATCGGAGAAACTCCAATCTTCACATTGCTTTCCATTGTAGTGCATAAAACTATCTAGTCTCTTTCTATTATTTTTTGGTGAAAGAAGTGTACTTTCGTCTGCTTCATTATATTCACCATCTGAAGGCAACCCATTCTTTAGATGATCGTGCTCCGGTGAAAGAAGTGTACTTTCGCCTGCTTCACTATGTTCACCATCTGAAGGCAACCCATTCTTCGGGTGATCTGTTCGAGAATCTCCATGTTCCTTTTGATCCCTTCCAGTGCATTGCTCCGATGGATTCTTGTCATCTGATTCCACTAGTTCTGTGATTTCTGCGGTTGAAACATAAGCCTCATGGCAGGTACGTTCACTTGAACTCTGAAATTCAGCAGAAGAACATCTTTCTGCTAGCCTTTCCCCATTGCAATCCTGAAATTCAATTTCAAGTCTTTCGGCATTTTGACCTAGAGGAAATTTGTCTTCTTTATCCTGTTTCAACTGCTCAATTACTACTTTGGACAAATCTTTATTCTCATTACCACTAACCTCAAGCAAGCTAGAAAGCTCACTAGAGACACTTGTATCTTCACATTGATCCCCATTGTTGACCCCAGATTCACCTTGCTCTCTTGTTTTATCTCCATCTGGCGAAGATTTTCCACCCGATGGTATTAAATCTAGATTTGAGCTGCTCTCTTCATTCTCCTGCACAATACTATCCGGCTCACTTTCCAAAACTCGGTTTGTTTCTTGCAAGTGTACTCCATTGTGGTTGGCGCCATTTCTCCAAGTTTTTGCTGAATTTAAAAGGTAAAATATAAGAAAAACAATTAACTTCTACATATGTGAAGAGTCTCTATCAAAATGTAGAACATATTCAAACACATCCACTAACTCACAATATGTCATAACACAAATAAGAGATTAACTACAAATTAAAGTAAAAAAGGGTAAGGTACTACTAGGAAAGTAAGTTTGGAAAAGGTCAGTACACATGAGAATTGTGCCACATCCTCCACACTTGTATAAAGGAAGCTCGGCCAACTCTGTCAGAACCTTTTGGCATCCAGGACATCTAACCAGTCGAACTTTTGTGCTTATTTGAGTAGTCATTCTCACCGTTATTTGACTTCAATTATGCCGTAGTATAGCTCAAACAGCCAAAATCTGGTTAAAAAAACCATGAAACATCAACATTGAATATGAAAGCTTCCATTACAAATGATTTTGATATTTATCTAGACATGCAGGGGATAAATAATGAATGCAGCGAAAAATAGCAAGATGACAAGCCCTGTTGATTATACCACTAAAGATAGATAGTTTGGAGTAAATTAAGCAGATGGGGAATATCATGATAACAAATGAAGTTATATTCACAAACAGGACGATAAGATAGAAAATTACAGAAGCATAAAGCTCTTAAATGATCTGAAGTGGAGAAAAAAAGGGAACGGCAGTAAAGAAGAGGCCAGCATTTGGATCAGACAAGATAATTATGTGTCCTCTCCATCTCAGGGGGAATGAAGGACATGGGGAGAAGACAAAAGTACTAGGATTAACTGAACATCAATTATTGTAAAATACCAAAACCTAAAACCTTGAATGATCTACCCTTATGTAAACCTAATAATGGAGTAACAAAATTATTCCAACTTATTCCTCTCCAACGGATAGAGAGGAGTAATAGCAGAAATTTAACAGACATGATCTTGGAATTACAGAATTGAAAAAGGAGACTTGATGATATAATTGATTGTAATGTCAAAAAGACTAGAACACGAGAATGGTACAATAAATAAAGACAACCTAAACAATCAAACTAACAAGAAAACCTTAATTATACTTTATTAACTTTTAAAGAGATTGAATGCATTTCACTTTCTGATATCTATCAAATTGAAGTCCATAACTCGGGCCATGTCCAGAATACTATAAATTTCACCATCTTTTCGCATTTACATTGAAATCAAACAATTCCATCAAATCTTTAAGCCATTTTCACCCAAATAAGGAATAGAGAATATGAAGTAGAAACTCAATGAATTTTATGAGAACCCAATTCAGTAAACATACATCAGATGAAACCCATTAAACTGGTTAAGAATTGAAAGTACATACCTTTGTTGCATACAACAGCAGCCAACCCTCTACAATTCCATTTCTATTTATATATATAGAGATAGAAACTGGCAATTTAAAGCAACCCAATAAGAAATCTTCCAAGTAATTTCCCTTTCACCATTCAATCTTCTTCCTGGTATTTACACCTCTCTCTCTAAATCGCACAGAACATGAAGTCTCGTTCCGTGTTAAAGAGACTAGTACATCACAAAAGTCTAAAATTTGACTCCTTATCTCTCTCTCTCTCAAAACACACACAGACACACGGTGTAATTTTACAGACACCGAGTGGGGTAGAGCCGTAGAGGGTCTTAAAGTCGGGCGCGTTGATTAGTTGAGGCGCGAGAGAGGAATGACGTGTTTAACTGTTCAAAGTCGTGCTAAAATACGCACTTCCACGACCTATGTGTTAATTTTCCTTCGACAACGAAATTACATATTTACCCCTCCTTGTGGTTCTTATTGCCAAAAATGATTATGAAATTTTTATTTTTGGGGAAAAAAAATTGTAAGCTAGTTTGGCCGAAATTTTGTCCATTTTCTTGCTTCTTAACACGATTATTAAAATATAAATTTTAATTCATTTTTGGAAAAATAATACTTTGTTTTTTTTTCTCTCTCTCTAAAATCAATTGTTCGAGTGATTGCTCTTTAACCTATGATTTCACGAAAAATGCTTCAATAAGTTTGTTTGGCATAATGGCTAGATCGGAGCATAGCTACAGCCATAAATCTTTCTTCAATTGTTCATGTTGCATTTCTCGACAAATTCTAGATCATTACTTAGCTACTAGAAATAAGGGAATTGTCGAATAAGAATATTGGAGGAAAATCGGGGAGGCGTGTGTTACTGATTGACAAAAATAATTCGTCTCTATCATTGTTACAACTAATTGAATCGATTTAAAATAAATATTCACCTTCGGAGCAGTATGGCTTCATATACTATTTATTTTCGAGAAGTAGCAAAAGCTTTATACAATTACTATTTATAACACGGATTTAGTTTCAAAACGAATATTCTTGTTGGAGAACAAATTTCTCCCAGTTGAATATAGCGAAATGATATTAAATTTTATATTAACGAAATAAATTTATTTTTCGATTTTAAAATCAAAAGGATGTTTTGATATATATATATACTTTACAATGTATTCATCAGTATTAGTGTTCATTTGATTCAACAATTCATTCAAGAAAATGTTGTCAAATATCTAAATCAAATATATACACGATCTTAAAAAAAATGATATTATACACTTCAACATCTCACTGTTCATATTTTTAATACAATTTTATTTTTCATGTAAATAACAGAGAATTCAATTCAAAAATAATAAATAAATACTAGAGGAAAAGAAAATTAGTAAAAGAAGAGAAGTGTACGCGTACAGGGCCGTATGGTCTTTTTCAGTTAAAGAAAAGTCAAACCTATCAAATGGCGTTAAAACTCGGCGTGGACTGACTGGCGTTGACTAATTACCTTTAACTCAACGATGACCGGCTCGGCGGGCCCAACGAATTAAATGGGGAAGCCGACCAGGCCAGAAACAGTTGGTTTGGCTAATCAATTATAGGTATATGATCTCAAGCTTCCGTCACCATGACCTTTTAATAAAAAATTGGCAAAATTAATATTTTGAATTCGTGATTACGAGAAGTTTTGTGAAAATTTCCACAAGTCAACATATGAGAATTCTATTGTGATGTAGACTCCAAAATATGAAGAATTATACATGACATATTTCTAGAAGGTGGATAGAAAATTATCGGTCACCTATTTTTTTGACATCTTTCTCTTTTCTGACGATGATTAAATAAATTCTAATGACGTCTATCTATTTATAAGAAAAATCAGAGCAAAACAAAAATGACAAGTGTGAAATTTCTAAATTATCGTTAGTGAAATTAGACCAATTCATATATGAACTCCTGGTAACGCCAATAATTAAGCTCTTTAACTTAGGACAAAATCAAAATTACAAGTATGATATTCCTTAATTTTCTTAATTAAATTAGATCGAACCGTATATAAATTTTGTGTAGCAACAATAATTAAACTACATATATGACACTTATCATGTCAACAACTCATTAGTATTGATCTTACGATTGAAGAAACCTTAATAATCTGCACCTCCATGCCCCCACCTCCATTGCACCCACCCTCAGATACACTCGTAGGAACATCTAAGTCCTGATTTCACGATTATTATTTGAAAATTTTTTTCATATATTTATAATAAAATATTTTGTACATAAATTCAAAAAAAAATTCACTTTTCAACCATTTATTCTTTTAAAAATTACTATTTAAAATGTTATTTTTTTCCAAATAATGATCATCAAAGAGGGGTTAAATGGCTTGACCTAAGGTTTCTTGAACGTAAAGGAACTTGATATTAATGGGCAGAAGACCTGGACACATCAACATCAATTGACCTGTCTAGTATTTATCAAAGGACCTCCAAGGCAACACACAATCAATTATCCAAGATCAAATCATGTTTTGACATAATCTTTAATAAAAGAACGTGTATGGCACGTCATTCTGAAATAGTAAAAATAATATTGAATATCAATTTGTTAGGAGAATTTGATGAATTTAAGACGGATTAAAGAAAATAAATATTAAGTAGAAATTTAAGAAGAAAAACATTGTACTTTCAAAACTTAACTTCTATGATTCAAATTTTTGTAATGACGAAATACTACAAATGAGCAACATTTTCACACTACATTTGGTGCATAAGAATTAATTGTTAATACGTGAATTTAAACACATATTAAAATTCTTAGATACATGAATAGAAATAAATTCATTTATAATAACTTTAAATTTATATAGATCAAGATTCATCAAATCAGGATTTATTGAGTCTAAATTAATGTGAATGTTAATTACTTGAGAAATAATAACACAAAATTCATACATGACAATGATTTTATAGTATTTATTACGAAAAACAAAAAATAAGATATTAAAATAATTGAATCGTAATAAGGTTAAAATCGTCCAAAAAATAACTCAATTGATGTGATATTTAGTCAATATTTGGTGGAAATTAATATTAGATTTTTAATAAATTTTGATAGACGTTGATGAAATGTGTGATCAAAAAGTTGTGAGACTCATAAAATATGTGATTGAAATGAATTTTTTCACTTTGATTTAAATTAAAATCTAAATTTTAATCGGTTCCAAATAGCAACTTGATATCTGCAGTTCGGTCCGCAGCAGGAACATGTTGCACAGGTAGTCATCGATGAAGTAACGGTCAAGCTTTAAATGTTTTCATAATTTATATATATATGTACCGTAATTTGACTATTTTGTCGATAACTGTTACCAAAATTGACAAAACTCGTGATTAGGCCAGTGAAATTTGTGATCCGAGTCATCTGACTATTAAAATGGGTCCAATATATTTATAAGGATTAATCTATGTTTACTTCCTACCTAACTAAATGTATTACTACATGGCCACATGACGGCACCCTATTGGAGGGTCGGATGTGGGGCCATGGAAAACTAGCAAGATTTTGCGGAAACATTCCACAGGGAGTTTGATTTGTGCTTTGACAACAACACTTCAAAATCGAGTAAAGAAAACAACACAACATGAAATTCAAACACTTTATGCCAGAAACAAGTACACAACTTCTGCTATTGAATTATTGGTTCATCACCAGCAGCAGAAGAAAAACAGTGAAAACATATCCAGTTTATAATGGCCAATGTTACACACGCCAACACGAACTCGTGTGGGCTAACTCTTGTGCACGTGCTGCAAAAAAATTGACTTCACCAAAGTGAGTACAGCAGCCAACTTTTAGCAATCTCAAGACAGCGTGACATTCTTTTTGAGCTCTGCATATCAAACAATACAGTAATATAAATTACGAGGTGAATTGTCAGCTCCAAGTCAACAATCAGGAAAAAATAACATTCCTTCATGTGCTTTTAAGCAAAAAAACATTAGTTTGACAAAGCATATTAAGATTGCATACCTTCAGAAGGAGGTTCGTCTTGAGTTTTTTTGTTGCTGTAAAACATAGGGTAAACATTTACATGATTAATAGTAATAAATGGGGCACACTTTCGTACAATGAAGAAGAAAAATATGCAAGGACAGCATCACCTTTACAGGAATTGACGAGAAAATTCATGCATCCAGTTTAACATATTTTTGCCACTTCATTTTGTGTGCAATCCAGAAATTCATAGCATGTCTTAATTCTGATGAATCGCATGCAAAAAGTACCAAAAATTGGCTTCATACCAAAATCCATAAAGTTGTTGCACAATTAGCTATTAAAATGAGTCTATGAGTGTGCCACAGGGTCGTATTGGCAATTTTTTATTAACAAAGAGATGAAGACACCAAATAAGTATAAGAAACTAGGGTCATTCTACTGCCTAATTTGGGCACTGAAGCATTAATAGTGGACAATCAATTGTAATCAACTTATTCCTCGTGCGGGAGTAAGCTTATCCTGTTTTTAAGTTCATTGTAATGTTTAGTCGAAATACATTGATTTGAATTAAAAAGAAATTATGGCTCAACTCCTTGGTTTACTTGGGACATTTACAAAATTTATCCAATTACACCGCTTCAGTACAGCCTAACAAACATTAAAACAGAGTTAACCTAGGGATCAGGATTCCATTTTCAACTCCCTCATTCTTGGAACACACCAAAGATAGGATATCAAAATTTTATTTCCACACAGCACCTAATTACCACTAAAAGCTCAATGCTTCCCTTGCCCAAATCAAATCCCATGAAGCAGAAGCAACTGAAAGGTTCACTTCTATGATTAGACACAATATGAGCAGCAAGCTTTGTAATTAGGTTCTGAATGTATATTAACTGTTTTATTATCAGTTTAACCAACAGGGAAAAGATGTCCACCAAAAAATGCAGCGACAAGGCTAGAGAGTAAAATTTATACCTGTCTTTCGTTGAAGGTTCATCCTGTGGTTTCATGGCTGGAAAGAGTAAAA